TTTATTTGTATGCATGCAGGGATGCCTCCGAGGTGTTACTGGCCAATCTCATGGGTACCTCCTCTTCGGTTAGTCAACCATTTTTGACCCACTGATTAAACTCTGACCTAGATACTCTGGACAGCCACTTGTCGTCATCGCGTCACCAGCTATGTATGCATCACAACGAATGGTGCTAATGTTTTGGGCATGCAGTCAGCTCAACTTCCCACTGAATTGGAACTTTTTTAATCAGCAAGAAAGCTCCTCATATTTCGATTGGAGTTAGACGATGATTCGCTGCTCGGTCTATCTCACAGCCCTGTCGGAACACCGCGTGGCTGTCGAGTCGCATGTTGAAATACTTAGCCGATTCCACTACCCAGCTTGAGGTTCACAGGGTCTACCTAGTGCTTCGCTCAAAGTCTTACAGAGCACGGTTCGCACTTAGCGCGAGCTTCCTTATAGCCGGGCCATAGCTTAGAGGTAACGAGCTTGGCTCGTAATCTGACGGCGCGGATTCGAACCTGTGTGCGGGCATGCAGACCCTCGCAGTATCCTTAACCCACATACGACCGGTAGTGGCTGTGCGGCAGCGAAACGTCAGTACTGGGTACCGGCGTACTGCTGATGACTTTCTTTTTTTCCTTAACGCGAGAAGCAGGTTTGCAGTCGTCGTATGATCGCGTTCACTGTTTACGCCCTGTAGAGTCGCGAGACTGATCATGACACAGGGCCGTTGAAATTCCTAGAAAACTGTCACGACGATGTCATCTTTCTTCACATTACAGCTAGCTGCTTGTGGCCTCGTGGCGTCGGTTCCTTGTGGACGCCTGAATGTTTGTTTGGGGCATTTGGATTTTCTCTCCGAATTTCCCTTCTCCCAACTTACTGTTTATAGGCCCAGTAGTTTCTCTCAGTTTGTCTTTACATAACACTGAAGCACCTGTTGACTGTGTTGTCGTTATTGTTGTTGTTGTTTTTTATGACTGTGCTTCCTATTATTGCGTGCGCTACCTAGTTCAGGGAATTGAACAGTGTTTGTGTGTGTGACCGAGCCGAAACCACTTACGTGTAAGCAATCCGTGTACGTCGTCTGATCTTTCTCACCATGAGGTCTGGTTATTCAACTACCTGGCTGAATACTGTATGCGTTGATTTTACCGTCGCAGTTACAGTAGCCATGATACCGATCAGCTGTCGCAGGTTTCTGCTGTCCGGAATTCGCGTCTTCCGCACACCGACAATCCGGTTGCCGATACACTATGATAAGTGGTACTTCGATTCCACGCATCTTCATCCATCGTCATCCCAGTCATCCACGTGGGGCAGCACCACACACACACTACTTGCCGTACTCCGAATAGTTTGATTGACATTCGCTTAAGCTTGCATTTGATGGAGGGGGTACACTCGTTCTCTGCATTCTTGACAACATCGGGATTGTCTCTACGACGCACTCCACTCCGGTAAGCTGGTCCGTCATCCGATGACAATGGCTATACCTTTTCAAACCGTGGGCCACCGTGGGTATGCACATTCTTACAACTCTGTCACCGCGTCCCTTTGCATTTGAGTAGATGTCCATAATCTTGTCTGATTAGAATCAGCGAACCGTTATTATCTTTCTCTCCGGGGGGTCAGTCCTCTAAGGAGTTTGTCACGACACGTAGTCCATCGCTTCACCATGGTCTTGTTTGACACTTAAAGCGTTGTGAAGGGACTGGGCTAGATAGTGTTATCGTAGGATAGTTCAACACTTCACGAACTGTTCAGAGTATCTTGCCAATAGGAAATCTGATTGCTGTCTTTCAACTAATAAACTCTGGAAACACATTGTGAGATGATGACTTCGTCGTTTGATGCATCTGATAAACCTAGCTTTGCAAAATAAGCGCCACCACTGAGCTTAGCAAATAGTTCTTCTGAGTTTTTCTGTAGGTTCATCGCAGTTAGACACAGACAGAGTCACCACACATCCAGGAAAGCGCTAGACGGCCGTTTCGTCCTATTGGGACTCGTCAATAGCGCGCACCTTCCGAATCCTGCCGGATTCGAACCCACGACCTTACTCTTGTGAGTCAGCGACTTATGTCACTGAGCCATGGGCGACGACAGCGGACCGCTATGACTGATATGTATCTGCGATATAGCGCGGCTCATCCTCAGCTGTCTTGCATGTTATTGCATTTCTTCGCTTTACAGATTGCTGGACCGCAGCGCGTTCGACGTTAGGGCGGTATGACTGTCAGAGGAAATAACCAATTGTTACCTGAGAGCGAACTGAGCCGAAGTTCTTCACCATTGATGAACAACCACATTACAAAAGCAGCTCTGAATGAAAGCTGTATATAATGATTAGACCTAGTTAACTGAGGAGTGTTTCATCTTTGAGAAATATACATTATTATTATTATTACCCAACGGGTACAATGCCCAGGGAAGTGCTGAAACAATCGGCTTAGGAGAGGAACCAGTTTGGTCCAGTAAAAAAAGGTAGCCGCTGAACAACACGCAATCACATGGCCTCAGTTACTGCGATAAACGCTGAGCGGGCGTGGCCGCGACCCGCAGCTAGACATCGGGTGCCGGGTGAACGCAGCCGAGAGCAAACGCATCACACCAGCGGTAAAAACTGCACTACAAAGTGCGCGGTGGCGTAATGATAAGAATAATGTCAGTGTAGAGACGAGATATTCCATCAGTTGTCATCAAACGATAACCATACAGCGAGAGAATAGCTCAAGCGCATCAGTTATGGATGAGAATCGGAGGCGCGTAAAGGGATTAGTCCCAATTAACCATTACCACGATTAGAACAACGGTGAAATGAAAGAAAAACGAATTTAAGTGAAAGACATTAGTGAAAGAAAACGTTATTTTGGCCGCATTCATCTAATCACAATATGAGAAAAATCGCTGGGCAGCAAGGAGAGAAATAGAAAATGATCGGTGTTTGCTATCGCTGGGTGTCAAAATATTGAATGAGTGACATATTATCGGAAAGAAAGAGTTGGGCTGAGGCTGATGGAACACCGATTGACAGCAAAGTTAACAGAAACGTTGTTGACCGTATATAGAGTGGAACTAGGTACTTGTACGTACACTCACAAAGTGTTGAGGAGCAATGACAAGCTGATAGAAAAGTCGAACGCCCTAGTGAAAAGGAAAAGGACTGCTGAATATCGTCTACTTTGTACCATAGCGTGCTCCGTGAACCAGGCCACATAGGCGAATAAGAATCATATCTGACAGTGGTAAAGTATTCGGCCCGCTGCCTCGAGTCATAAATAGATGCGTCCGATCCTCACACAATCATTATTTGTAATACGTAGCTAATGTCCGCTTCTCTAATTGTGAAGAAAGAGACCAAAGTATCATCAACATTGGCAGTACATCAGTCATCTGAACTGATGCTTCACTGTCGTACAAGTACGATGGTCTAGCGGATGAGAAATGATAAAAGAAGAAGGTACTATAAAACCTAAGTGTTCTAAGCAGTCAGGATCAAGGCGCTTACACTTTGTCAGCAACACACAGTCAGAAACAGCTGGTTATGGTGCAAAGAAAAGACGACAACAGCGAGACAGCTTCCTTGACGGTTTCGCTATGCCGTGTCATAATCAACCACTACCTCGCAAATAACTCAGCCCCAAATACACTGAAAAGACGCAACCCGGCTAGGAAAAGAAATTAGACACAGTACTGGTGTCGACTGAGAGCCGTGTCATGTAAAGGCATCAGCAGTACGCCAGTACAAACGCTTCGCTGCCGCGCAACCACCACCAGTCGTACGTGGGCTAAGGATACTGCGAGGGTCGCCCTGCTCCTACGCAGGCTCGAAACCGCGCCGTAAGTTTACGAGCTCGTTACCTCTAGGCTACAGGTCGGCCATGTCCTGTAAAGTCTCGATCGAAACACAAGGTAGGTCCCTTATACAACCGTATGCTATACAAATAGTTGCCAGTCGTATAAAACCGATTAGTTCAAATCTCACTGTACTCCTGTTGGTGGGGCCGGAGGTAGAGTGCGTGGAGGAGCGCTGATGTGCTGACAGATTCGCACTAACTCCAGCATAACCTCAAATGAAGTGGAGAACCACGCACCAACCAGCATCAGCGTCAAGACAGTGGTGGATGACTGCGCCCAAAAATCGAAAAAATTCTCAAAAGTGGTACCATCCTGCGCTTGAACCACATCTCAATGAAGCCCCACTGAAAATGTGGGAGTTCGACAACCTATCCAGGAATACGTGGTTTGAGATGAAGAGTGCACAATGAGAAGCAAATACCCGAGGATCTTGCAATACATTGCTCATCCATGGTGCGTATATAGCATTGGCCTTTGTAGTCTATTCGACGTCGGCTGGTAGAAATAAGATGATGCTTAGTCCGAGCAAAGGACATACAAAGGAGAACCTGTCCCGACTATCGGTGACAGCTCAAACCATCTGCCTCATGATTGATGGGATCGTCACAGGAGCTATTGTGAACAGGCGCATCGACGAGATCGATGTGCTAGTGAATCAAGTACTGGATTACCATGAGCGAACCATCATTCATTGGTCATGCTAGTGCACCCGGTTTCAAATCTCATGGAGCAAGGATCAGGGCTACGTGAACAGAAGCGCCTATCATAAGAAGGAAGGTCGACGGATTGGACTGATTGTGCAGAGAAAGGACCATTTGAGACGGTGAACATTGCACACATATAATTCGGTATCGATAGTTACATTGCATTGGCCTAGTATCCGTATCAGGTGGACAGTTCGTCGGTCGTCGATATTCCCTAAGATAGCCCTGGTCAAAGTTCCGTGATGCCGCAAATTGATGGCCTCCACACACACTGGAGGTTAAGTGGGAAATCCCTGTTGGCGCAATAAGGTTTGGCCATTCATCGCTTCGGTGTGTTTTCATTAGATGAGGCAAAAATACAACCGGAGTGAAATGCATTCACGCAGCCATGAAGATGACGAAGGGGGCAAAGTATAAAATAGGCGACCAATATGCTGTGCTCCTTACCTTGTCTTTGGATCGATGGTGTAGTCGGCAAAGTTCGAGGGCATGTTCTGTGGAGTTGTCTGGCTCAGTCGCTGGTATACAGATTCGCGCTGAGCGAGCACTTGCAACGGATGCAATCCAGTGGCCAGACGCGAGACGGCCCAGGCAGCATCTAGGGCGGACAAGAATCCGAGCGCACAGCCACTCCCAGTAGGCCAGAAGGGCTAGATACACGGAGGAAGAAGAAGGATGACAAGGGGGATGAAGCAATGGTGACGTATTTGATACGCAAAAGTGGTGTAATGTAAGGGAGCAAGAAGCGCACGCCATACGAGATATCGGCTGTCTTGTGGGAACAAAAGATTTCAAATGAGGTCCAGAAGACAACAAAGGGCGATGGATGGAACTTGGCTTGTTTCAGGATGGAGTCACTCGAAGGGTTTATAACTGTCCCGATGTGACCCCACAGCAAGAATTAGCAGTTGCCCAGGAGCAGCGAAAGGGGACAGACGCCGTCGCAATGGTTGACGTCTCGTCAACACTCGCAGTCGTTGCAGCCAAATAGAGCATATCTGGTGGGAATAAACGTCGAGAATGTGGCAAAACACGTCTACCCCGTGTAAATACAGCTGCAGCTCAGTCAAACGTAGTATCGGCGGTCATTGCCGAGACTGGCGGAGATATATTGACATTACAAGCAGAAGTTGTACAGATCCCCATCCGGTAGCCCTACGTCGTGTTCATGAACGAACGGAGAGGCAGAAGAACTCAAACAGCTCATGCAATGAGAAGCCGATGTCGGGTCTCATGGGGCTGATTAGTGCTGTTGGAGATCCCCCAGAGGTAGCAGCAGCAGGGAGGCTGCACTTTACAGCCAGTTCGAAAGTAAAGGTGGCTTCAAGCGCAAACACAAGGTTTGGACAAGTGATCAGAGCAACAGGCCATACACGCTCATGATGGTCATTTTTTGCCGCATGAGAGACACATCCAACAGAGCGAGATGACTCACAGTGTTTCTTATTCCATGCTACGAAGACGGAAGGATCACTTTTGCACGCGTGTCAAACGGTCCTAGTCCCAACAATCCCATACCCAACAATTTGCTCAATCTGACCGTTGGACTAAGCCAGAAACGAAAGCGCGAGAATTTTGCGGGGCAACGTGATAGCACGATCTATCGAAAGACACAACCACGTGTAGGACGATGTCAGGAAGGTGGTTGTAAAAACTGGCAGCATTTTACAAAAATGGCGACACCTCACCTCAAACAATCCATCACCGACCAAACATTGCATCAATAGATGCTGCTTCCGCTCCAGCATTCGACACGAGTACTCAGCTGCGAAAATGCGTGTAAAATCGAACACGTCCACATCCGGTTGCCCGCGCGCATTGATTGCAAAATCCAATCGCGGAAGCTGGTTGCGGGTCACGTAGTTTGCAGTCTCGCGTGCATATGCTTGCAACGCCGAATGGTCGATGTTCTCCGAACAGAGCAACCGCTCGGAATCTTCTCGGTCCTGGGGAAGTAGAAAAGGAAGGGTTGAAATGATAACCTTACAACCAAGCTCGGATACGATGCGTTGAAACACAGATATGGGGAATTAGATGAGAAAAATCAAATGCAGGTCGGGGAAGACTGAGCGAAATATGTACGATTATGTACCTTAAAATCTGCGGACTTCAGTAGTCAGATGGATAATGAAGATACTATAAAATCGTCATGAAGTTGTGCGTTGTCACTGAGTGCAGACAGTAGTGAATACACAAACACACAGCGCCGACGCGTTTGCATGTAGACATTGTTGCCAACCCAAAAAGGCTTCTTCTCCGCGTGGGTTACAGTTCCACTTCCGGTGCCAAGCCAAGCTGGTCCATTCGGTTATGAGAAAATAGGAACGCCTTGAAACTGAGCACCAATGCAGTGGCCGGAAAAAGACGGAGCGCGAAGTCAGAGGAAATTCGCGGTATTTATAGCCTCATATTGATCGTCGAAGTGCTTTTTATCTCCTTAGATGTTAAAAATAGTACCACGGAATTCTTGAAGGTCCAAGCGATCGATAAATGAGATCAATTGGCAAAGTTGTGAAAGAACAAGTGGGGTGGACCAATAGAAGGCACATCAATGAGCTGCTCCTACACATGTGGTGTGTGGATAATTGGAGGTAAACGATATTGTAGCGAGATCGTGAGGCGCCGTTCTACGTTTTGCTCACGTTGAAGGCCGCAGAAATCAACCAATAGGCTCGTAGCTGGTGTTTGCACGTTGGAGAGATCAATCAGCTTGACAAATGTAGACATAGGAGAACTGCTTGAAATAGGGAAATGGTCGGAAATAAGAATAGCAGTGGTATTGTATGAATGGAAAACATGGTGGACGCGTTGCAAAGACAATGCCGTTACTTAGACGCCCAGAAAGCACTGTTCAGGTTCGATAGGGACACAGTGCGGAATCGGTCACCTGATGCTCAACAACAGCTCTCCAGTTTTGCGTTAAATCGTACGATGAGCTGTCTCGTAGATTGTAGAAACACCTCGGAGACATGGCAAATGTGTTTGTCAACTGTCCTCTTCGAAACCAAATTAGCATCCTCGAAATGTGTAAGGAGCAGTCGCGAAAAGTGCAACAAAATGCACTTCGTTCAGCTCGTGGACTGGCCCAATGAGACTGATAGGCATGTCGAAAGCAACAGTTGTGAGAAATGCTGTAGAGTTGTTTGACACGGTGGCTTGATGATTAATGCCAGACACTCGTTCGCCAGACCGATGCGCCTTCGATGAGGTCGCAGATCATATACATGGATTGCATCCTCGTCAACGAAGCGAGGTGACTTCAAAGAGCGGTCAGATGACGGTAAGTTCACAGCATCAAGGAAATCATCTGGTGAGGAATTTTCAAAATATAACGGATTGCAACCAAGCTTAAGCTTAATCATAACACCACATACATACACTGATGGGCTGGATATGCGCCTCATTTTCGGGCACCCAAGGTTGTGTTCGCACATGTTGACGATGATCAACCGTTGGGGTGCCATGAATTGGAAGCGCAAGGTGACGGACGACCCCAGAGATCGCTTACGTTACTTTTTCAGTTACCGTGTACTCTGAACCTCAAGGGATAGAAACACTCGTCAGTGACGTATATGCACGCTACAAGCCTCCGTACGGTAACACATAGTGTGGCTATCTACCTTTAACGCTGGTGTTGCTCGATGCTGTTCGTGGGAAATGACGACCGTCAGATATAGAGCTGTTCGTTCTGATTAAGTCGTGGGCTTCGCCTCATAGCACCCTACTTCGGCCAGGGTAATAGAAGAAATTGGCCAAGGAGATAGAATACCGTTGAGTCCTCGCTTAATAGGATGCAAATACTCCGTACCGTTCCATATTTTCCAGTTTTTCTCCATTAATGCAAAACTATCCTGTGCGAGAAGACCAGTAAACTACCGAAAATAAAAGTTAGCAGCTAGCTAGTATGGTGCGTGGGAAAGGCAAGAGACTCAGAGTAATACTCAGTGTCCTAAGGAAGGAAGGAAGCATTTATGTGGAAAAATCGAAGAGAGCTCCCGATCAAACAGTAACTCCGACGCTGATAGTGGATGTCAAAGAGCGAATGGCTGATTTTTGACCGTTTAAAACATACAACTTTGGCTTTAAATGATCTCGAGATTAAAAAAGCCTCATAATTGTCTGAACGCCTTTCCTGCACTTTATTCTCCAATGTGATCTCTTTCGTGAACAGGGTTTATAGCAGAGTAACTTGTCTACATGAACACACATTTTGTCGTGTGTATGTGTAATGTGTGCCGATCGCCAGAAGATTGGATGCATCATTTGGTATGTCAGTGACTATGAAAATTTAATGTACCGAGTTTAGGGCTCTTTGCCAGTCAGGTTGGGAGCGTACATCCATGGGACAAAGAAATTCCAATTCCAAGGGCTAAGAGAACAGTGTCGAGTTAGGAGCCATCACAACTATATCACAGTGCGCTCCTCCAAGCCAGGAAGAAAACTCCGTCAGTCAAGTGGAAGTGACGAAGAACACAAGTGGGTTCGAATACCGAGTAAATCGCACAAATCTACAGCGGGTAAACAGAATTGTAACCAGCGTACAGAGGACGTTGCGAAGTAACGGTGGCCGAAGTTGTGGAGGCCACCTCCCTTCGTTGAGTGGTTGCTCGATTGAGGAAGACTGGTTGACGGACTGCCCTAGACGACACTATTAGTCAAGCATTAGATAGGTAAATTGAAAAACAAATGTTCAAGGGAATTCGACGAATTGGTGGGACTGGAGTTTCCCAAACACAGGGATGTGGGGACGATAGGCACCTAGATGCAGCTGTGAACTTCAAAACCTTCATGAGAGACTTGGCGACAGTGCCCAAAGCGCTGTACTCAGGATATGATGGTAACTGCGGAAGTACCGAGATCAGCCGGGGGACAGCAGTGAATGGTGATCTGTGGGGTGATGAAAAGAACCAAAGCTACCGGGCTCATGGACGGGATTGAGACAGGGGTATCGCTGCTCAATAAGACCGTGAGATCACGCAGTCGGATCGCCATCGGTGAGTGTGAACACAAGAGGGAGGTCACTGCCAATAAGGTGAGAAAGGTAAGGCAAGTGCCGTTGGGCCGGACAACATGAACATGTGTACACACGATTTGTCCGCCGTGGATACACCTTGGTAACACAACATGCACGATGCTAGTCACGTCATCTGAAGGCCATGAGAAGAACGAAACATGTGATTTGTTGTTTGGACAATGCAGTTCGTTGACCTTGAATGTTTACTTGTCGCGATGTAGCCACCATTCTATTCACAGGCACAGCAGCGAAAACGAAGCTGCTCGCTGCATTCGCGAGTCTGATGGTGTGTGTGATCTCAGCAGGTAGACACAGAGCCAACAGAAAACCATGGAGATCAGAGGATAAGGGAGGAGTCTAATGGTCAACAGGAGGTCCAAGTTTGGGTTGTTACGAGTGATCAATAAATGCAGCTACTCGTTGAGAATAGCAAACCCAATTCGTCAAGAAATGCAACGGTAATTATGCGTCAATAAATTGAGGCTGATGAAGTAGCGGTTGCGCTACTCTTGGTGCGCGACGAAAATGTTTGTTACGCAAAACGAAATCCGAAAAGATGGGGGAATGAAAGAAAAACGGCCAGTTCAAAAAGGATAGGAGCAATACAGTCGAGTGTAACAGCGTAACTGATCTCGTTACTCCGCCAGGTAGAACAGCGTTCCTAATCACAAAGCATTCATACCACTTGGAACGATCACGACATGCGAAATTCTGGCCATTTGAGGCAGCGAGGTCATTGCCGAAAGGCTCCAGAGTATGGAAAGTGGTGGAATAGACGGAAAAGAGTTTCTCCTCTCTAGAACACTGCTATCAACACATTTGCACTTTTGAAATGGGGTGATACTTCATGTGACACAGAAATGCTACGTCGGGGTGGCATGCCGTTTCTGCGAAGTATGTATAAGACCAAGATCCGAAGCGCTTACTGCATGGAGAACTGCGTGCAAGAAAGCGAAATGTAGGCCAGCCGAAACTACTTCATCAGAGCAGGATCGATATGGGTTTATCTCAAACTATTGTGGACCATAAGGTGTTGGAAAGGAATGACAGTGGATCGATGTCAATGGCCAGTTGCCCAAGTGCACGAGAAAGGACTGTTGCATCAAAAGGAAAAAAAACGTCGGATTGGAAAATGTTAAGTGCTGACGGAGCCCAGTAGGTTCATTTCACATACCTGATGCCGTAGACCATTGAAATCGCGTGTCACAACCGATCTGACCGAGTAGGACATCAAGGTAGCCACAATGGGCCGAAATCGACGAGGAGGCAGCCAAGTTGAATGGACACTTGTCAGCGCAGCAACTGCATGCCCTTTTCATTTTCATTTACTCCAACCAAGTAATGCAGCAGATATGGCACGTGCCCTATAGTGTTGCTCAAGTTGGGCTGTAAGTGTTGCTGCGGACTTATATTTTCGTTAGTTAAACATGTTAGTATATTGGTATTCCCGATCTGGCCGCGCTTCATGTGAACGTTGACAAGATGCCTAAGTGTACAAAACCGTCACTTCGATTATTGACTCGAGGGGACTGCTGATCGTCGCTGTGGGAGACCAGATGCACAGTCTTCGTGGACGTGTTAGGCTCAAACAGTGGTTGCATCCAGCGTGGAGCAGACTACGGCCCAGCCACCGCTTTGTGTACGTCTGATACGCATGATTCCCCACATAGATAGACAGGAATGCTACTGCTGCTGCTGTGCATACTGAAGGATTGTTTGGTAGGCTCCGGTGATGAAACGTAGCTCTCATTCACACGCCTCTCGGTCTTATTTATGAGGGTTTACAGTGGATATGGGATGTGTGAGTGGAGTTGTGGGTGGTGCAGCGCAAGCTACCCATGGTCCCACTGTAGACGCAGGCGTCCTGCGACTGTCTCCGTGAAGGCCACAGTGACAAGCAAATCCGGACACGGATGAGGCCAAACATAGTTA